AATGCACACAAAGAAACAGCTGGTTCTGAAAGGCATACCGAGGTTGATGCTCCGCAGAGACAGGGATCATCTGTTAGGGAGATCAAGAAGAGTTATGTAGAGGGTCAGATTAAAACCTCTCAAGGAGATCAACTGATTCAGCAGGCAGAAAAGGAAGTGGGAGACACAGGGTTTAAGCCTTATGTGCAGTATCTAAATCAAAACAAAGGATACTTGTACTTCTCCATTGCTGCTTTCAGTCACCTGTTGTTTGTCATTGGTCAGATAACACAGAACTCTTGGATGGCAGCTAATGTTGATGATCCTCATGTCAGCACATTGCGTTTAATTGCGGTCTATCTGTGTATCGGAGTTACCTCAACACTTTTCTTGCTATGTAGATCAATCTCTATAGTTGTTTTGGGTCTTCAATCATCGAAGTCATTATTTTCCCAGCTACTAAATTCTCTTTTTCGTGCACCCATGTCTTTCTATGACTCCACACCTCTTGGAAGAATACTGAGTCGGGTACGCGTCTCACCCAGAAAATGTTGTTTCCTTCATGAGGAATGATGTGTAACTGTTGATCTGGAACTGTTTTTATTTTATGTCTCATAGGTCACGTCAGATTTGAGCATTGTCGATCTTGATGTTCCATTCACTTTGATCTTGGCCGTTGGTATAACCACAAATGCTTATAGTAACCTGGGAGTACTGGCTGTTGTGACCTGGCAAGTCCTGTTTGTCTCCATACCAATGGTTTATTTGGCTATTCGCTTACAGGTAATTATGTTATCCTCTTACATGAGTGGTTTGGAATTGTGAGAAGCTTGGCAATGGCCCAATCTAAATAATTGAGGCTTCAAGAATAATAATTATAAAAAAAGGCTAAAAACAATTCTTACAAGGAGCTATTCAATTCACCCGAACTGCCTGGAGTGTGGTTCTTCCGAAACCACAGGATAACGTCTCCTCTACATTTTTAAAAAGAATTCCTTACAACGTGTGACCATGTAATAAGTTCAATGCAATGAAACGTAACTAATCATTTTTTATAGAATAATTTCATGTTTAATGTCTTAAATTGCCACATGTAGGAATGTAGATTGTTTTTAAAGGCTAGAAGTTTTCTTGCAGTGAGCTTCAAATTGACCAAACTGCCTGGAGTTTGTAATTCTTCTGAAACTGGTTATCTTCCCAACGATTTTTTAGAACAACTTTCTTACTACCTGTGAAGGATTAATGCAATGTAACACAAGTAATCATCGTGTACAATTTAACACTTGAACTTTCAATTGTATTAGTACTGTTTATATGATAGGTAAACAATTTAACAAATCAAGGCATGTATAGTGTACAAATTCATGAGGGAAATCTTGTTGTCAAGCTGAGAACAAATCTAAGGATTACAGTAGTATTGGCATAACTTCTACAAGAATGGACGCCTCAGTTAGTCTAACAAAGGTGAACTGCTCAAATATAATGCATAAATTGATTATATGGCTGGAAGTGGCAGTATGCTGTTATGATCTCCTTCTTTTGAGGACCACTACCATTGAAGATGATTTTACGTTTATAAAGTGGATTTAAGGATTGTCTCATTCTTATCTGCAGGCATATTACTTTGCCTCTGCTAAGGAATTGATGCGGATCAATGGCACAACCAAGTCTTTAGTGTCAAATCATCTGGCTGAATCTGTAGCAGGAGCCATGACCATAAGGGCCTTTGAGGAGGAAGAACGTTTTTTCGCAAAAACCCTAAACCTCATTGACATAAATGCTAGTCCTTTCTTCCACAATTTTGCTGCAAATGAGTGGTTGATTCAACGGCTTGAAATATTTAGTGCAACTGTTCTTGCCTCTGCAGCACTCTGCATGGTTTTACTACCTCCTGGAACTTTTAACTCTGGTGAGCATTTATGCTTTACTTTTCTTCAACTTTTTTTGAACACATAATATTACGAGCTTCCCAATTCTGACTCGTTGTAATACTTACTTCCATTACTGTAGGATTGATTGGAATGGCACTTTCTTATGGACTTTCATTAAATATGTCGCTGGTGTTTTCGATTCAAAACCAGTGCACATTAGCAAATTACATCATTTCTGTTGAAAGGCTTAATCAATACATGCACATACCAAGTGAAGCCCCCGAGGTGATTAAAGATAACCGACCTCCATCGAATTGGCCAGAAAAGGGTAAAGTGGATATTTGTGATTTGCAGGTTAGTCTTACTCCTATGATTTATTGGTGTTTAATGAGACAATTGGTGAAGGCTAGCAGACTGAAAAAGTTTAGTATCAAACAGATTAGATACAGGCCTGACGCACCACTAGTTCTTCGAGGAATCAGTTGCACATTTGAAGGAGGGCACAAGATTGGAATTGTTGGTCGAACCGGCAGTGGGAAGACAACACTTATAGGTGCTCTATTTCGACTTGTAGAACCAGCTGGAGGAAAGATCATCGTAGATGGAATTGACATCTCTAAGATTGGACTTCATGATCTGCGGTCACGACTCGGAATAATACCTCAAGATCCTACTCTCTTTAACGGGACTGTGAGATACAATTTGGACCCCCTATCCCAGCATACTGACCAGGAGATATGGGAGGTAACTTTTCCAGTTCATTTGACATTTTAATCTAGTAATCATTGTCTATAAACCAGCGGAACTGTTGTTTTCTACCTTCATGATTTCTAACTTGAAAGTTTGTTCCTTATTTTCAAGGTTCTCGGAAAGTGTCAGCTTCGAGAGGCTGTACAGGAGAAAGAGCAGGGTCTAGATTCTTTAGGTATGCTTTCTTCCCCTACATGGAAAATAATGAGTGTATGCTTTCGATTGTAATAGTCAGGGAATGATTAACAACCTGCTTCACAGTTGTGGAAGATGGATCGAATTGGAGCATGGGGCAGAGACAATTATTTTGCTTGGGCCGTGCCCTTCTGAGGAGGAGTAGGGTTCTGGTGCTTGATGAAGCAACCGCATCAATTGATAATGCCACTGACTTGGTTTTGCAAAAGACTATTCGGACTGAATTTTCAGATTGCACTGTAATCACAGTAGCTCACAGGATACCAACTGTGATGGATTGCACAATGGTACTTTCCATTAGCGATGGTAAGTTTCATTTCTTCAATTCTTATCTAAAAAATGCACTTGTCTGTATCCTGCACATCGTGACTTTGCGGATTTGCACTGATTTGTCGCCACTCCAAGATAATCTCATGTAGCTGATCATTCATCCATGCCATCCAACATCTTAGCAGAGGCTTATTTTTCTGGAGTGACCCCAAAATACCAGAGCTATAAGGCGATCTATTGCCAAACCTTGGTTTCCATTTGAAAAAGAAGAAGACAAAAACACAGCCTAACACTTAAGAACGAGAGACGACTGTAGCTGCAACTTTATGTACATAAATCTCAACAGAAATTCCAAGATGTATCACTGAGCTGTTTTTGTTCTATTTCAGGAAAACTAGTGGAGTTCGACGAGCCGGAGAAGTTAATGAAGATGGAAGGTTCACTTTTTGGACAACTTGTGAAGGAGTACTGGTCTCATTTACACGCTGCAGAATCACATTGAAGCTGAATATTATTTATCGTGTATCGCACTTCTAATTTCACCCAAGCTTTGCAGCAAGGAAAAGGATGCTAGGACCAGGTAGGAAGTATGATGTATGATATTGCAACAATATTACAGGGCTAGAGAGGAAAAATGGAGAAGAGGAATATCAGTTCCTATCCTTAGTTTTGCACCTTTATTCAAACATCAAGCCTGCTAATATCTACTGGGAAATTGATTTGCAACCAGGATGATGGATGCATGTAAATCAGTGGATGCAAATTATTTTAATAGCAATAGTTTTTTTTTGGCAATGCTATTTTCTTTATTAGAAGTTTCTAAGCGATATGCTGCAGACATGTGCACAAATAACAACCTTTTTTATTTATTTATTCAATAGTAACCTTATTTTTAGATTAGTTTTCGATTCAATTGAGACAAAATCCCTTCCAGTAATTTTAAAATTACATTTTTATATTATTTTCATGTATTTAAAAAGAAATTCATAAATTTTCATAGCTATTGACCTCAAAATATAAACTTACGAAATTAGGGAGCATGGTTAATCTCCTTAACTATTATATCCACCTATGCCCATGGGGATTATGAACTTAGCAACATGATCATATATGGTAGCAAGTTACTAGTTAATAATATATACCAAATATAAGAAAATTGTAAAATTAATGAGATGGGAATATTAAGCTGTACATAAAAAAATTGGCAAACCTCAAATATACCATAAACTATAAGGGTAATATCAATTTACCTTAAAATTAATTTTTATGTCAATTTTATTTTTGAAGTATTTTGATTTCACAATTAAGAACTTTTAGAGAGAATAAGAGAAATCTTTTAAGTAAGAGAACATTAAATCAATTTTCTTAGAGTATGTTTGTATATGCTTGTTAAAGTATTTGCAGCCAAATTGTTAAAATAAATTCCAAATTGTCCTAAAACATAACTTATAATTATAATAAATTCTCCACTCATATGGATTGGTGAGGTAAAGGGAAATTTTTTATACTGAAATTGTCGTTTAGGGTAGACTGACAATTGATGAAGGCAAGCAGGGCTGAAAAGATTCATATGAAACAGATTAGAAATATACCTGACGCACCACTAGTTCTTCGAGGGATTAGTTTGGTATTGTTGGTCGAACTGGAAGTGGAAACACTACCCTTATCGGTGATCTATTTCGGCTGGTGGCACCAGAGGGAGGAAAGACTGTAGTGGATGGCGCTGACATTTCTGAGATCGGACTTGATGATTTGAGGTCACGATTTGGAATAATACCTCAAGATCCTACTCTCTCTAAAGGGACAGTGGGATGCATTTTGGACCCCTTTTCTCAGCATACTGACCAGGAGACGTGGAAGGTGCTTTCCAATTCTTGCTCATACATAGTTTTTGATCTGCATATAATCATCATCTAACCAATGGATGAAAAACACTTTCTACCCCCATGCTTTTTGTACTTGTATTAGTACAAGTAGGTCGTCTAGTATTGCAACAATACTGCAGGTCTAGGGAGTGAGAAATGTGGAGGAGGAACTGAAGTTCCTAACATCAGTTTAGAACTAGATTCAAATATCAAGTTCCGCAAATTCTTCTTGGCAATTCAATGAAATTGCAAGAGCATCAGGTTGCAGGCCTGTTGCCACTCCACTGTGATTTCCCTGTATCTATCCACACTCCTGCAGGTAACTCCTTAGTGTGGATATATACTGGGAAATCACACTTTCAAAATCATCAGTGATAACTATCATCAGGAGTTGAATCCAGGAGCTCTATGAAGAATGCAAAAGGTGGTGCTCCTGAAACTTGAACTATAGGCTTTTTGCTTCCTTCCTCTTTTGCTGCTGCTTTTGTCCTGAAAAATGATGCAGAAGCTGTAGATTCTGATAGCGTAAAAGCATGTTCCTCTGTTTTCCAATGATGAATGCTGAAGCAAAAGGAGAGCATGCTTGATCAAGACCAGAGACCAAAGACGGATGCATTTATCAATCATCAAAGCCCATTGACAAGGAATTGGACAACTTGGGATACATCAAAAGAATTTTATTTTTTATTTTTAAAAAAAGAAGAGCGTATACTCAGAATGAGGATATAGAATGAACACCATGCAAGTCCTATGAGATATTCCCATGAATAAACAGTGAGACCATTCAAAAGATGAAATGATCACTTTCATTTTCTTTATGGTCCTCCAAGAGTAGCGTTTTCTATATCCTCTCTGCTCAATGCGTTACTGAATCTCCTCTCCACATCCTTTTCAAGATTCCCTGGTCCATTCTTCAAGTACCTGCATCACAAGATACAGTCTGTTTAGCCAAGCAATAAATCTAAAAGGATGACAGTGTAACTGAGTATAAGACTTATTTCCTCCCTTTTACGTCAAATTAGCATTTCAGAATCCATCTCCAACGGTAAAATCTAACTACCCTGGATAAACAATGATATCTTAATTTGTGCAAATTGATAAATTGATTGATTAGTCCAAGCAGGTTGAGAATTCAAAATTTGAATAGCGAGGGAGAATAGGGAAGAGTGAACTCTCAGGCAAGCTGCAGAACCAATAAAACCTTGTTTCCCACTTGAAGTTATCCAGCTTTCTCCACCATTCCTTTCCTTTTATTGAATCCCAACCAAGATTCAATGAGCACAATGTCATCATTGCATTGGTCTTACTCTTGAATAGGTGCCATCATCTTCATATTTTAGAAGAATGATGGTAGAGAAACTTCAATTGTACATAGTTCAAAGAAGGTCTGCACAAACCATTACAATAGTAAAAAAATACATATATAAACCATGGAAGCTGCTGTTTAAAATGAGAAATCATCTTCTTAAAGAACAGAACATGATCTGAAAACCATAGCTTATGTCCCAAATTTCAGAAAGGCACTGCCTAGCCCAAACTGAATCAATCTGCAGGCTATGAGCCTATGAGCTAGTCCCAAATTTCTGCACCAATGACATTAGACCCATTGATATTTGCTGGACAGGGCTAACCTTTCTGTTAACTCTCCTATTGTCATTGATCACACGACCTCCAACTTCCCACATATTGGTACCAATTTCCTTCACGCAACAACTAATCCATCTTGACTTTTGATCATGCTTAAATACTTTTATTTACATGATCTATTAGCATGAAACTGTTTTTCTATATGATCATGAAGAAGAAGCTTGTGATGGTCCCATAACTTCTCTGCATTGTGTAGGTATATGCCATGCAATCATCTATCTAACTCCATCTCCAGTAGCACTGTACCTTTCAATTCCTGCACACACTATTTATCCAAAGCAACACAAACTCATCACGTTTATGTATCTCTGTCATGAATTATTCCCTAGCTACTTCCACTGAAAAGTGAATAGATACTCTTACAATTGCTAATTCTGAAACTCTAATTTATACATAGCTGCAGCATTTCTGATCTTATCAAACCAACTACAATTTATTAATTCAAATCGTCCATAAACTACTAATATTTTGATAACATTGCTCCACACCATATTATTCTTCTTCCCCAAATGCAAACCTCATATGAGCACAAACCTCTTGACACACTTGCTAGATTACTTCTCTAGTGTACAACATGACTAATTGAGGAAATATGGATGTGCTCTTTTTTTGGATAAAATGGAAGGGTATTAACACTGATTCTTCAGCCTTTTGCTGGTCTAGAAAGGTTATCGTTACATCAACCAAAATTATCATATCATAGAAGCTCATCTATTCATCGAACCTCACTAAATCCGGAGATTCAAACTAGTTGGGATCAGCTAGATCCTTTTTATCAATTCTTTCTGAGCAGCAGAGTTCCCATCGCTAACAAGAATAATCTCACTTCCATCATTATACAAATATTTTCAATCGGGATTTGTGTAGCCAAAGATTGACAAACAAACTTCGAGCAATAGCTATAACAAAGCACACTTGATTTGTCAGATCACAGCAAACGCCATTAAAACTCTCCAGCATAATTTAATGGAAGCTATGATACATCTAACAACAATATTATCTGTTGTTCACTAATTCAAATCACCAATTTTTCCTTGCCAGCTCAAGTTTCCTTCTTTTCTAAAAATTCCAAATTACATGGAGAAACCACTCAACCTAATAATAAAAATAAATCCAAATAATGAACATAATGCAAAAACACAGTAATCATTCACATTAAAAGATAACTCAAACAGACTACATCATGACCACACCAGTTGCAATTCACCAAACCACAATGATCGTATGCAAAGTTGAAAACTTGACAGCAATTACTCACATACACTACAAACAAAACAACAAAAACCCATATGGTAAAACAAGAATAAAGAACCAAACTTTACCTTATATAAAGATCAGTGACATCAAGTGATAACTGAGCATGCCAATCAGGTTTCTTAACAAACCAAATAGCACGGCTCTCCTTGCTTTGGTAAAACCCCAAAACCTTCAACCAAGCTTCAATGCAAGGCAAACTATGAGAGTACAAAGGCTTTTTCTTGTCAGGGAGTGTTTGTAGCCACTCATCTCCTGTTGATGATATCTCCTCTGCTTCTGATGATTTTAAAGAAACTATTCTTTTGGGTTTTCTTGGAAACTTACATAGAGGATAAGGACATGAAGGACATTTAGAGAAAAAGGGATGGATGCAATGAGGGAAAGTGAGAGACTTTCGAAGCATGAGTAGAAGTTGAAGGGTGCGAGGAGAGGGGGACGTTAGAAGTGGCAAGGAAGCAAGAAATGGTGGTCATGTTTTTGTTCTATTTCGGGTCCTAAACTTATGGATTCATTTTTTGTTGGGATGGATTGGAGAGGGAAGGTTTTGGTGAAGCTTGGAGGGTGTAGGGTGGAGAGACTGTCTTCCTCTTTGGAGCTAAAGGGATGATTAGAAGAATAACAGTGATAGTTTTTTAGAGTGATTTTTGTTTTTAAATATATTAAAATAATATATTTTTTTATTTTAAAAAATTATTTTTAATATTTTTTTTTTGCAAACTTCTGTTTGTTCATAAAGAGAAATTTCAAGGTACGGACAAGGGGCTTATTCTTAAAGTTTAATGTGTGGATATTTGGACCGGGTTTGTAATCAAATTATATAAAATAATTGATACGATGAAACTTAATTAAAACCTTCTTAATCTGCCCAATCTCATATTCAATTCAAACTTGATTGGATATAACTAAAATAAATATTATTTTTTTATCTTTATTTAAAAAATGAAAAAAATCACATTTATGAATTAATGAAGGCGATGTTTATTTTTTTTTTGGTACTGTGTTTTTTAAAAAGTAATTTTTTTACTTTAAATTATTTTTTAAAAAAGTAGTTTATAATTTAAATTATTATTTTTTAATATTTTTGAATTGTTTTAATGAGTTATTTTAAAAATAAAAAATAAAAAAATATTATTTTAATATATTTTTAAATAAAAAATATTTTTAAAAATACCAATTATCACAATATCCAACGTTACTAAAATAATTTGTAAATTGAAGTAACTTCATAAGTTGTGAGGTAATGGAACTTCATAATATGAGCATCTCATTGGATTCCATATTGAATTATATGGAAATTGTTTTTGATAATGTTATTAAATTTGGTGTGATTTAGTTAGTTAATATGTTAACTTAGTTTCTTGCTTTGAATTGTATTTTAAATTAAATTGAGTTGGAGTTTACTTAATAAAATTTATTAATTTGTGATTTCATCAATTTAATAAAAAAGAATGAATATTTAAATTAAAACTATATTATTTTATTTTAAAAAATAATTTTTAAAAAATAATTTTAAATTGAAATTAAAAAAAAAAAAACGGATTTAAAGTCTTTGATCAACCAAAAAAAAAGGAAAACCCCGCCAAAAAATCCTCAAAATTTGCCCTTTCTATTGAATGATAGATGTTTAGCATATGGGAATTTGTTTAATGAGAAGTTTAATGGAGTTTTTAGGAGTGTTGATGAAGGGTTTGTTAGTAAATATATTCACTTTAGTTAAGTTGATTTGAAATGTGAAGTTAAGAGTGTTAATGACGAGTTTGAAATGCGTTTTAAGCTTTCTGGTGATTCTATTGTTTTAGGTTCTGTTCTTGTTTTTTTTGGTTTGTTGCATTTTTGTTTATTTTGATGTTTTAAAAGCATTTTTATAAAATTTAAATTTTTTATTTATTTTAAATTAATATATTTTTAGTATTTTTAAATCATTTTAATAGATTAATATTAAAAATAATTTTAAAAAATAAAAAAATTATTTCAATATATTTTAACATAAAAAATTATTTAAATTTTTTTTTAAATAAACGAGTCTTAAAATATTAGATGCGAGTAAAAAGCCTCTGGAAAGTACAAGTTATATGACTTGGACATGTTTTATAGGTTTAGTCAGAAATTCATGAATTCACAGACAGGTAGTTGTGAACAAAGCAAAATGGTTTTGGAAGATTTTGGTGGTGGAAGTGCTAAATTACATGCTAAGGCAGTCCAATTCTTTTATGAACGTATGTGAGCTTTCAAGGGAAGTTGAGAAAGACCAGAAAGAAAATTGCAGTGAGTTGTCTGAAGATGAGGTTCTTGACATGATATGGATTGAAATGGGTGAGTTTGTCTTCAGAAAATCCACACCTATTTGGCAAGATCTCTTGAGTTTTCTGTATAAAGAAGGTTGTGGGTCTTTGATTTCTCTTTTGGAAGGGTGATGGTGTTAAAGAAATATTTAAGATAATTTGTATAATTTTTTAATAAAAATTTTCTAAACTTGAAATTTGTATATAATTATATTATATTATATTTAATTTTTATCAAATATAATAGAAGTTATGAATCTCGTGATTTTTTTTATTAATAATGCTTTAGTATCTTGTGAAATAATCATATTAATTTAAAATTTAAAATTATTTTAATAAATATAATTTATATAATTTTTTAATAACTCAATTACATCTTTTATGGTTTCTTCATCTCTCCTTTTTATCGTGGATTTCACCCTCATGGAGTCACAAGTAAATTTGATGGTGTGAGTTTGGGTAAAGTTTCTAAGAAGATAGGAAATGAGGGTTGCAAACCAAAAATCAATTTGAGCTGCTCCCATGGACTTACTGGTTCTCAATCTGGGCACTTGCCATCTGGTAAGTGTGCTGTCACATGAGGTAGTAAAAGAAAGAAGAACAAAATTACAATTAAAATAATATTATATTACTTTTTTAATTTTTTTAACATAAAAAATCTAAAAAAACTTAAAAAACACTATTTTTAAGCTATTTTTTTTTTAATTTTAAGCCAATGATATTTTAGTTGCAGGGTTGGATATTTATTAGGTTATTTGATTAATTTTTATAGTTTATTTTAAATAAAAAATTATTATTTTGGATTAAAAAATTTGAATTTTTTTTTGGAGTTGACTCGGAGTCTCATTCAGTTTTTAATTAGGTCTATTAAATCACAAGTTAATTATTCAAGTTACTTAAATTTAATTAGTTTTTTTGAAGTTGCTTTTAGTTGGTTTTAAAAATACGGTAATAATTGTTTTTCAAAATATTTTTTATTTAAAAATAAATGAAAATAATATATTTTTTATTTTTAAAAATTATTTTTGATATTTATACATTAAAATAATTTAAAAATACTAAAAAAAATAATTTTAAACAAAAAAAACTAAAAATTCATGACACAAGGAAAAAAGAACCGTAATAACTATGAAATTCATAGGCTCCTTTCGATGGAATCGTCAAAGTGGAAACCAATTTCAGACTGACCAAAAAACAGTTCCTAAACCCCTTTGATTCCAGGAAACTCACTGAGGGACTTAAATGGTATCTGCCTAGACAGCCAAGTCAACACCGTCCTGGTCCTCCTATTTATAAATAGAGAAGACCTGTATAATCTTTAATAACCATGGTGCCGCGAAACAAGAATAGAAGAGTTTATGCAAACTAGGGCTTGGCCCAGCGGTGGAAGGAGCTTGTCTCCTTTCACTGTACCTGAGTTTGAGCCCTAGCGTGTACGCTTGTCACCCCCGCGGTGCCTTACATACCTATTGGGTTTGCAGGATATTCAGTGGGTCGTGGGGATTAGTCATGGTGCGCGCAAGCTGGCCCGGACACCTCACGTAAATTAAAAATAAAAAAAAGAATAGAAGACTTTATTGTACATTATTTTTGTCCAGAATTCTTCTATACTTCCAATGAGAACGGCAACAATTTCTTGCCCACAAACCACGGTGATCAGACTTTTCTACCAAGACAACTAGACACGCATGGTCCTCGGAAGCTATAAATTTGTACCGTCTCAACATTGTTGATACACAGAACAAGCTTGAGATCCAAAATGGCTTGCCAAGGAAAAGCTATCACCCTTCTTCTATCTATCTTAGCTGTCTCCTTATGCAAACCCTCAAATGGTGCAGGCATCGCCATCTATTGGGGTCAAAATGGCAATGAAGGCAGCTTAGCTGATACCTGTAACTCAGGAAACTATCAATTTGTGAACGTAGCTTTCCTATCTAGTTTCGGCAATGGCCAATCTCCAGTGCTGAACCTAGCAGGCCATTGTGACCCCAACGCCGGTACTTGCACCGGCATAAGTAATGACATTAGATCTTGTCAAAATCAAGGAATCAAAGTTCTACTTTCCATTGGAGGTGGCGCAGGCAGCTACTCCCTTTCATCGGCCGACGATGCAGGGCAAGTTGCAAACTATATCTGGAATAACTTCCTTGGTGGTCAGTCCAGCTCACGTCCGCTAGGCGATGCCATCTTAGACGGGGTTGATTTTGACATCGAGGCAGGTTCAGGCCAGTTCTGGGATGATCTTGCTAGGGCACTTAATGGCTTTAGCCAACAAAGGAAGGTATACTTAGCTGCAGCTCCGCAATGCATCATCCCTGATGCTAATCTGGACACTGCAATCAAAACTGGCCTATTTGATTACGTGTGGGTTCAATTCTATAACAATCGTCCATGTCAATACGTAAATGATGCTACCGGTCTCTTGAGTGCATGGAACCAGTGGATCACAGTTCAGTCCAATCAAATATTCCTGGGACTACCTGCTGCTCCCGAGGCAGCCCCCAGTGGTGGATTCATCCCAGCTGATGTGCTCATTTCTCAGGTCCTTCCATCTATCAAGGGTTCACCCAAGTATGGAGGCGTGATGCTCTGGAGCAAGCAGTATGACAATGGGTATAGTGCAGCTATAAAGGGCAGTGTCTAGATTTGTTTCAGCCTGCTCTTCCCCATGCTCTGTGCTCCTGATTCCTGAATAAATTTGATATATGTATATATATATGCCACAGCATGTTTGATCTAAAGAGTGTATGCGGAATCAAAATATCATGTTTACTTACATTTCAAGATAAATAAAACGAAATTATAGTTCCCTGACAAGGAAAATATAATCAATTTACCAGTGAATTCCTTACAGTGTTTTTTCTTTTTTCTTGTTTCTTTTTCATCAAGCTCAACGAAAGTCATGTGGTTGTGGAGTAACTTTATGCCTTGTAAGGTGTTTACAATATTTTATGAGTTGATTGAGAGTCTCCAAAACTCAACTGCGGTGTCTAAATTTTTCCACTCGATCCATGAATGCAAATCCCTTGATGTATTACTTTGCTGACATTTTCGAAGGCAAAATGTGAAAGACAGAAAAGTAGTCAGACAAATGAATATTGAATCAACGAGACTAAGGTTAGCAGAAATAAAACCCGGTTTAATGGAGGATGAGCAAGAATTGGAAATGAAATAATCAATTATTTGGATTAAAACTTACCGTTTCATTTAAATTAAACATCGGGTTATTTCCTTTTAAACCCACAATTTAATATCCCAAAAATACTAGATACTAAAATCTAGCAATAAATTAATCATTTGCTTTTAATCAAACTAAGAACTATTCTAAAATCTAAATAAG